TCCTGGGGGATTGTGATCAGAGTTCTGAAGCTGTGCTATATTAGGGGTGCAGCGATTTGACTGTCAACATAACTCGTGATTGAACAAGTCCCCCAAGAAAACGAACGTCACAGGTGCAGTGGCTTAAGACCTTCAGTCTCCCTCTCAAGGTCCAGTCCTTATTTCACGGCAATGAAACATGACAGGAAGTATTACAATGAAGAGACCACACCAAATGCCCCCACTAGCAAGCATGTGGGTGAAACAAGACAATCACTGTGCTCTGAATGAACTCTCCCAGAAAAATCTAGCCATATATTTCAGAAATGTGCATCTGTCTTTCTGTCTGTATGTGAGTCTGTTTGTCCAAGAACGAAACCGTAAGAGTTAGGACCACCAAATTTGGTAGGCAGCTTCCTCTTATCCTAACTTAAAGCAAGATCAGGGTTTGGTTGTGCCAGGACGGTGGGATGTGCCTAGAATTTGACTGTTTCTCTTAACATGCAAAGGGAGGGATCTGGCTGGAAGAACAGTTATACTGCGGAATGACCACAGGGGAACAGAAGCAACCCAGCCAGAAGCCACTGAGCAGCAGCACCTGACATCTCAGCCCCATGGAGCAGCTGCCAGCCACTGTGTGGTCCCCACCACTCCAAGGCCTGTCCTAGGGAGCACCAGCGGACAGCCCAGGCCCACCGAGAGAGAAGCCAGCAGCCAGAGTATGAGCCCCATCCTCGGGCAAGGACAGGTAAGTTGTCTAGTGATAAAAACTAGACAAAAAAGTCATGTCAGCCATGGGGGAGCACTTTTCACAAAGCCATCTCACTGTATCTGACTTCTCAGGCCTCATCCTCAAAGGGAACTTGCACAAATCCTTCAAAAGATGAGCCCGGGAGCTCAAATTAATAACTTTGCCTGACATGAAAAATCACAGACTGCATAGAGACACTGGATTTATGGCTTATTACAACAATCCATAACTTACACCATAGAGAAGAATCTAGCCTAGGGAACAGAATAGGACAGTAGCATCCCACTCTAATCATCCTGATTTCCCACATCCAGAGGTGATTATAATGAGTGTATGGCAATATAGTCAACGTTTGCTTCTGTGTGTAATGCACATTGCATTTATTTCCACAAGGAAATGTAGTCATGTAGAAGCCTTAAATTAGGGATTTTATTAAACTGAGGTTACCATGTCAGAAAATACCAACTCTTACCGTAAAGTATATAGATCTGCATAATACAGTCACTCAAAGCAGCTGCAAAAGGAATGGTTCATTTCTTTGATTTGCGAGGAGGTGGGGGACTTGGTGCTAGAGTTCTGGTCTTTCCCAACTGGTGACAGAGAGAGAGACGCTGGCGTTTGTAACCCCAGAGGCTTGTTGTTTGTGCGTGCAATGCAAGGCAACCTGCCTGGTTCACCATTCACCTCAGAGGGTGTGAGTCCGGGATTTTGAGAGTTTCCCACACATTGCCCCATTCACACTGTTAAACTGTCAACAATAGAAGTGTGCCGCTGCGAGTCCTGAGCGGAAAGCTAATGCCTTCTACACCATCTGGCCAGCACTCAGAGCAAGGGATAATGCTTTAATCAATGAGGGCTGCTCCAGCCCTCTGGGTTCCCGGGCACTGCGCTGGGGAGGACGGCGTTATCTAAAACCACTCGTTTCATAGTTCCAGAACTGGAAATTGGATCAAAGCTTCCCAGGCCAAAGGAAACCTCCCACCCCACAGTGCCCTTCTGCTGCGGAAAGCGCATCTCAGTCTCATCCAGCGTAAGGCTTGACATACAGCCCAATGCAGCTGACACACTGTTGGTTCTGTACCCTGAGCTTTGCATTATATGTTCACTGTGAGCTACAACAACGGTCCAAGTGTGTGTGGCACTGCATTGGCTCTTATAAAATAACGATCATAACGATTCAAAAGGTACAAAGTAACCTAGAAGCAAACTTTTAATGGGCCCTGCACTGCCAAGTCACTTTGGTGCTTTTGAAAAACAATAAATAATGCTATTAACGTATAACATGCCAGGACGTATGGAACTCATTGTCACAGGAAGTCATGGAGTTAGCAGCAACTGAGTCATAAAGACAGGTAGATAACTTTATGGCAAAATCGTGTGACCAGTAAAATAAACTTTGCAGGATCTCAGATTCTAGCAGATTCACCCTTTCAACATCTGTGAATTATTATTTACATGCAGCAAGTGATATGCAATACCATTATTTGCCCCATTTTTCACAGGGGGAAACTGAGGCACAGAAAGGCATAACTTGCCTGAGGTTACCAAGGGAGGTTAGACAAAAGGTTTATTTATTGTTTTTCTCTGCATTTTAAAAGGCTGCCAAAGAGTGTTAGTTGGGGCTGTCATTAACATCTTTGTACTGATGGGAAACTGAGGCACATAGCAAATCAGCTCCTTAACCTGTGAGCAGCAGAGCTGAAGAAGTAGGGTCTGTGGGTGGAAGGCTGACTTTGGGAATAGAGCATTGGGTTGGGACTCAGGAGATCTGTATTCTGTTCCTGTTTTGGTCATTGACCTGTCATATGATCTTAGACTCAGATTTTAAGGCCAGAAGGGACCATCATGATTATTTAATCACACCTCCCTCATAGCACAGACCCAAGCCTCTCACCCACTCTGTTGCAGGCCCATCATCTCTGAGTTACCGACGTCCTCAAATCTTCTTTTGAGGACTTCAAATTACAGAGAATCCCCCATTTACTCTAGTTGAAAAAGAAGACCCATGCCCCAACCCGCAGAGGAAGGCAGTCGCTTCCCCTTCTGTACCTCAGTTTATCCATCTCTAAAATGGGAATAGGGATACTGCAAGAGCTACTGTTGATGAGCTCTCTGTAGGTGCTAAGTGTATTATTCCCAACTTCCAGTTCTGGACTGTACAGTGCCTGAGAGGACAGCCATGTCCACAAGGTACTCCACCAAAATCAATGGTGCCCCAAGCAAACCCGGCAGTCTGACCACACATGACCAAGAGCAGAATTGGCACCTGTCGATACAGGATCTCACATGCTGGCTCTGACACCATTTGCTGGAAAGATTCTAACATCATGGTTCAGGGCAGCACGTGACTCTGCCTCTGGTGTGGTAATGAGTCAAACTCTCCGACATCTGTAGCCTTTTCCCCCCCAAAGGTGTTTTTAGTGTGATCGTGAGTGAGTCCTTTCTCTCTGACCTCCCCCCTTATTTCCTGTGGGTACGCTGTGTGACTGTGAGGGTGGTTTTTTTTCCAGTACATTACTTCTGATGATTAAGTTTATACTATTAAACTGCTGTCCAGCCCCTGAATGTACATGTGTGTGTTAAAGTTTTTCCTAATGTTCAATCTAAACCTCTCTTCCTGTAATTTAAGCCCATTGTTTCTTGTCCTGGTCTTGTTGGTTAAGAAGAACAATTTACCACCCTCCTCTTTATAACAATCTTTTTTGTCATTTTATGTACTTGAAGGCTTGCAAGCAATGCTTACTAAACAGTGATGATTAGGATTACTTTGATATAAATTAAGAAAGAAACATGAACCTAGATCTACATGTTTTGTTAACAGTCTAAATATTCAAGAGCACAAGACCTGTGGTAAGAGCAGAAGAAGTGATAGGAAAACATTACTCTAAATCTCTTTAACCACCCAGCCAACCTCTCTGGAACAGGATCCAGGATTTCTGGCATCAGGTCAGATGAAAAAAAAAACAAATATTACTTAAGCGACAAGGAGTCCTGTGACACCTTATAGACAAACAGATGTATTGGAGCATAAGCTTTCGTGGGCAAAGACCCACTTCATCAGATGCGTCTTTGCCCACGAAAGCTTATGCTCCAATACATCTGCTTTTGCAGATCCAGACTAACACGGCTGCCCCTCAAATATTACTTAATTCTTTAGAAAGTAGTCTCTTGGTCAGATGAGTGCCCACCTCGTGCCGTTCTCACGCTTCCCTGTGGCTGGCTGACTGTGCCAAAAACATCTAATGTGCATGGGTATATAACAGTCAAACATATTGAAAACCTCTGTGTGCATGTGAGAGAGTCAGAGATTGGAACTGAAGTCAGGAAATCCTGCAGTATTACAGCTATTTTGTAGATAGAACAGCTGTGGCCCAGTACGGGTCAGGGCATGAGTTTCTTGGTACCTCAGTTTCCGAATGCAGAGTGTTTCAGGAGGAGATTCCCCTATTGCTATGCCTCAGCGTCATATGCAGTCAGTTGTGAGGCTTAATTCATGACTATTGGTCTAATGCTCTAAGATACCAAATGGAAGATGCCAGGGAAGGGCAAAACTACTCTTAATTATTATTATACAGATTTGCCATTATAGGAGGAATTGAGATTGTCCAGAAAAAAAGCAAAAAAAAAAAAAGTTTTTAAGACTTGAAAAGAGTGACAGAGGAAACAGAATTTATATAAAAGATGGGGAGAAAAGCCTTTTGAACTGGATCATCCTTAAAAAGATCCCCTCCCCACCAACAGGGGTTTTCCCTTTTGATTTTGATCAGTTGCCTGGAAATTGACAAGCACTGTATTCATCGAAGCACGGTTTAATGTCAATGAAAAGGTTTAGTCCCTCTAATGCTGGACTTTTTCCTTTACAGCGTCTCTTCTGGGCACAGGAAAGTAGGGGACATTTTCCCTTCCTGGGAGCTGTCTTCTGTGCTTAATTTCACTACAGCCTGGGAAAAAGCAACATATTGAGATGTTGACGGTCCCCACATCAGGCCCAAGTTTGATTATAATGACGGCAAACGCTTTCCCACGTTCTTACTCTGTCCCTCCAAAGCCAGTCCCTATTGTGTAACACACTCCCCAGTCCACCTGCTCCTTTGGGAGCAGGGTATTATCCCCTGGCAATTCACAGTCAATTTACCATGCTGTAATAGATGCTTTCTCTATTGTCCTAGTAAAAGCAGGGATTGGCTAGTGAGTGTGGGAAACTGAAAGAAGCTTAGGACCCAGACATTTGTATGCAGCTTAGGAGTATAAATAGAAGAGCTCTCCAGCTCCTTTCTGCACTGGCTAAACAGCAGGATCTGCACTTGAACATTTTGGGATAATGGCACCGAACGCTGTCTCGCTGGAAATCCTAACCCCCAAGGAGAAAAACAGAGTAGGTACTCCCTGCTTTCTGCAACGTGCACTAAGGGGCAAGCGGCTGATACTGGCTCAGCTGCTTACAGAGAAGATGGCAAACGAAGGGAAAAGGAAACTGATCACTAACTTTCTCTCCCCTCTTGTGTTTTTTGCAGCTGAGGAAGCCAATTGTAGAGAAGTTGCGCCGGGACCGGATTAACAGCAGCATCGAGCAGCTGAAGCTCCTGCTGGAGAAGGAGTTCCAGAGACACCAGCCCAACTCCAAGCTGGAGAAGGCCGACATCCTGGAGATGACGGTCAGCTACCTGAAATACAGGCAAGGTAAGTGCCTTTCCCTTGCTTTTGGAGAATTGTCCTGTCCTGCATTTACCCCTGGTCCAAACGCCAGCCTAAATGTCCCTGTTTAAAACCCATCTCCATCTTTTCTCTCTTCCCAGCTTTTGCACCCTCTTCTACAAGCCTGCAGCAGGATTATAGTGAAGGGTATTCCTGGTGCCTCAAAGAAGCTCTGCAGTTCCTGTCTCTCCATTCTGCGAGCACAGATACACAGAAGAAATTGCTGTGCCACTTCCAGAAGCCTGAAGTTACAGCCACAGACTCGAAAGCTCCAGCTGCATCCTCTGCAGCTTATCAAATGTCTGCAACACAAGCAGCACTGAAGCCCACAGGCAGACTGTGGAGACCCTGGTAGATCTGAAGGACTTTTTTATTGTTTCTGGATGGTCACTTGTAGTCCAGAGGAGACTGTGACTTGCTGTACAAGTCCTGTCACTCCTCTAATGAGTAGGGAAGAATGCTTTCCATTTATAGGGCATATTTATGCTTGGATGTCAGTTTCCCTTCTCCTAGAAGGCTCTAAATGCTCCCACCATGTGAGGAGGTAGCTATTCTAAAAGAATGTACTAAGTAATCCTCATGGTAGGATGACTAAGTAGTTGTTCAAAATGAAATATTTAATATGTTTTGGTAACCTTGCTGAGGTTTTTGAGTGTGTTTGTTTAGAAAGAAGTAACTTCTAGGAAGTTGTAGGCTAACCTTTTTAAACTTTCCACTCAGTTGGAGTGCCTTCAATTTTAGCAGCCCGAGTCTCATAGAACATTGATTTTTGAAGCATGCAGCATCTTACGCCACTTGACTTCAACTTGAACTTGTGAAAATCAATGTCCTACGAATCACAAGGCTAGCATCCAATCTTAGTGGGCACCTTGGAAAATCTGGCTCTCATTATTGGTGTAGTAGGGGTTCTATAATGTTTATAGAGTTTATTGAGTGTACTCGGGAAAATGTTACACCATAACTAAAGCTACGTAGAGGAGATTCTTCTGGATGTATTACTCTCAAAAGCAGAGTATTGTTTGTTATGCTCAGGCTATGCAATGCCTTTTATAAAGGCAATAACTTGTTTTGTATCCTCATAGGAAGAAAAGTAACGGCTTGTATTGTCGGTTTTACAAGAAATATTTAGCAAAATCTTTCATGAAAGGCAACCGTAAGAATTATATTTACATTTTTGTACCATAATGTTATGGGAGGTAGTCTGTTTATTATAATCCTCAGAGGATGGTGTGATGTGTATGTGCCAGGTGCACCGATTGTGGGATCTGTGTTTGAAACCTTTTTGAATTTCAAACCTGCAGAAACTTTGCACACAGTTAAAATAAAATCTGACTATTGAATCGATATGCAGCAAGTTATTCTCCCCTGTGCAGAAATCCCTCACTGATGCCCTTTTGAGAGAGGCTTCATAGGACAGCAGTGGTGACAGTAACTTAACATTTCTTACAGGCACTGTCCTATTGCAACCCGGGTTCCTGCCAGCTATTTAAATAGCTCCTTGCTAGCTTTTGCTGCTGCTCAGCCAGGTGTTGCTGGAGCGGCACACCGGGTCGCTTACTTTCACCGCTGCAGGATAGTGCTACTTAAACAACTAATGCAGGAGACATGATGATAGATACACAAAGATCACAGTTTACCTGTGGAGCAAACCAGGTTTGCAAAGTTTGCTTTGAGGCACAGTAATCTGAATGACTCCTATTGATTAACATACAGAGTGGTGCTGACAAGTTCAGAAGCAGCCAGAGTCAGCCTTCCTCAACTATGGGGAAAGCATGAATAGGGACCAGTCATGTACGGGTTTGCAGGATCAACATGCACATTCTATAATGCAGCAGCAAGCTCACTCTTCAACTCCCTATCCAACACCAGAGGGTGCCTTTAATTCAGAAGGGTAATATTTTCACAAGCCATTTGCTGTCTGCCTTTGGGTTTAATAAGGCAGATGCCAGATCCACTGAAGTCATGGCTTGTGCCCCTGTTCTGTTGGGAATGTGCCAGGAGACAGAATAGGGAAAGCAAAGTCCTAGGTAAGGGGAAGAAGAGTCCAACAAATAGGATTCTGTAGTAAACTTTCAAGGCTGCTCACAAGAACACATTAGTTCAAAGATGGAGACACAACTATAGTATAGGCTGAACCTCTCTAGACTGGCATCCTCAGAACCTAATCGGTGCCAAACCAGAGAATTTGCCAATCCAAAGGAGGTCAATGTTATCTAGCAGCATTGCCAACACTTCCACTGCTTAATGGGCTCTTAGACGACATTTAGGGATAAATCAGAGCTAATAATAGCACAGAACACTGAGAGCCAGAACTGGTGGCTGTAAATAAACTTTATGGGACTGTGGGAAATTTGGCCTCACCCATAAATGAACATGTGGCTACTAAAATCATGTTGGGCCACAGATGTTGCCAGACCAGAGAGTGCTGGATTAGAGAGGTTCAACCTGCACTGTACTTTTAACTGATTCTTTTCACAAACTAGATATACTCCTTTACAAACAAAAAAATTGCAAACACTTTGCAGACATCCAAAAACAAAATTAAGCCCTTACATATTATGATTCCCACTTTAGATATAGAAGAACTAAGACCAAGATTAAAGTAAAAATATTCAAAACAAGACTCTAATCTTCAGATGTCCAACTTCAGGCACCTAAGACCTGATTTTCCAAGGTGATAAAAGAACACAGATTGACAAACTTCAACTGGAGTTGTGAGCAATCCGTGCCTTCAGAAATCAAGTCCTAGATGTCTCAACTCAGTCACACCCAAAAAATGAAGGCAACCAAACATCACTAGAGACTTGGACCCATGTGACTTACCAACATCACCAAAAAAGCTGGTGTCACAGCTGGATTTACCTCAGGAGTTCCTGGGTCTCAGTCCTATATTCAGATTGCTGCGTCAAGGTGGTTCTGATTTATCTATGAATGAGAAAAATGAAAGCCATCATTTAAAAGCAGAAAATCCACTTCAAGAAAGGAAAAAACAACTTCCTGAGTGAAAATAAACCTTGCCTAGGCACTTAATATTTAATTCCCTTTTTTGCGTATATTAAATAGATGCAGGGCAGCAGCAGTTACTAGTGAGAGATGCAGGGAAATTTAACTCCAACTAGTTTTCTACATAAAGCAGAATTATTTGTAGCTAGCTACTTAGGTTGATTCTTGCAGGGTGAAAGCCAGTATATACAGAACTTGAACCTGAAACACTGACATGAATGGGCACAGTATTAAGGCCAGAGTGGGGAAATTCAAGACCACAAAACTCAAACTATATGTTAGATTAATAAAAGCTATCCGTTTGCTCAGAGAAAGAGAAATATTAGGCGCTGTTAAGACGACGGTACTCTCCCTCCTTTCAGTTAACCCCAGATTTACCTCCATTCCATACCTGCCTTCACCTCCTATTTTTTAATGCAAATATTTTACCTGAGAACTGCAGAACACATATGCACGAAGCTAGAAAATAGTGCTTGCAATAAGGGAATATATCTCCTCTTGAATCACAGAAACTAGAGGTTTGCCCAGTCTTATCAAATGGGTCTCCTGCAGCACACTTGCAAGTATTTTGTATATTCCTGTATTAATATCTCAATTGTAGTGGTTCCACCAAGCCCCCTGTATCAGTGTAAGCTCTATGTATCGCCACTTCTCTGCCCCATTACTAGATTATAACTAGTAGAGCTATTTGTTTGACTCTGGCTTCCCATAGAAATAACCCTCCAACAACTCTCATCTTCTTTACCCACATTAAGCTATCACTCCAGTTTGCATTTGCACATGTTCAGGGAAGGATCATGTGATGATGTTTACTGCAGAAGCAGCACTATAATCGTCAATTGTACTGTGCCACCTTGTGGCCAAATTCAAGCACTGTGCCTATATGAAAAAGCAACACTGTACACTACTGTAAATTGCAATGCCTTTTCATCAGGATGAGTTTGGGGTCTTCATATTATAAATGAAAAGAGAATGCATCCATTAGTAATAATTTATCCTCAATTTTATTAATGTAGTGCCTGGAAAAAATCTCCTCTCTCACACCAAAGATGGAGCTGGGGGTACGAACTCACTGAAGAACAGTAAGGATATTATCATCTAATAAACCATCTTGTTAGACTTTAAAGTGCTACATAGTCCTGTATTTTGTTTCAGTAAGGATATTATTAATTGCTAGTATTCTTAGCAACAAATTTATGACCATAAGGTATTTTGAGATCCTTGGATGAGAGATCCCATAGAAAGTATCATGGCTAAGAAAGCTAGACCATGATGCTATATTAGAGATGAGATTTATTTGCATCAGCATGCCTTTTCCCCTCAATGACTTTGGGACTTCAGATGAAGTGGAACACAAATCTCACAAACACCCCACACCGACTGTGGGGTGGTGAAAATGAAATGGCACCAGGGACAAGCCCCTCGGTGGCTCTGAGGTGCAAACAGAAATGAACCCGGATCCGCTCACCCCGATAACATTGCAAACCATAGAGCTAGACCCCCATAACTTTGTGGGGAGGGGCTGGTTATTTGGGATCAAAATCCAACCTACCAATAACTCTGAAAAGTAAAAAACACACAGCCCTGTCCCCCCCACACTAGGGATGTAAAATCCCATTTAATTAGTTAACCGGTTAAACGTTAAGTTTGTCCAATTAACTGGGGGAGTCTAGAGCACCCCTCCGCCCCCAGTCTGCATCGGGCCCCGAGGGGCTGGAACAGCGCCATGTCTGTGGCGGTTGGGGGGAGAAGGGCTGCTCCAGCCCCCACTGGTTAACCATAACTAGTACCCCCCACACGCTGAGGTGAGGCTTACCAGTCCACCACTTAATCGTTAACAACCCAACACACACACACGGTTTGTGCATTGCAGATAAAATGGGACCATGGTCCACACACCCTTAATTCGGGGGGGGGGGGCAGGAGAGGGCAGTCAGATGTAATGGGGCCAAGCCCCACCCTCTCACCCCGCCCTGGGCAAAAAGGCTGAATGCTGGCAAAGCTGCAGGGAGCGCCAACCTGGCCGCTCATTTGCATAATACATGCAACACGTTACATTACTATGTAAATATATGCGCATATATTTGCATGTCGATGAAGCCCAGCAAGGGGTGGGAGGCGTTCAAAATGGCGGAGCGGGGCGGGCGAGGTACCAGCAGCAGCAGCGGCG